TTCTGGAGCATCAGGGTGGGCCTGTGAAATTCTAAGAATGATATGAGATTACCAGGAATTTTCAACAACAGCAATTCACAAAGTATTGAGGTTGCAAGCATTACAATTCCAGGTAAAATCTGTTAAACCATAGAGATATAAGCAAATGGGTTATGGAATTGCAGAGGAAATTGTGATGAATTTGGATAGAGGAAATGTCGAAAGAGTTTTTGGAGTAACTAATATCTGAGCTGGAAGCACTTTGAGGTAACATCTACGTCTTCTTGAAAATACTGTTAGTTTTCAGCAATTTCTCCTCAAAAGAGATTGAAAATTCACCTCCTGCTTCTACTTCTCAAAATAGGATATGTAACTCCATAAATGTAGTGGTTATCTGTGTAGGCAGAGTTAAATTGCTTGTGGTTAATGCCAGTTTCCCTAACTAGTCTCTCTAGCCATCATTTTTACATAAATAACATGGGCATTCTATGGTCTGTGCACAACCCACTTAAGGGTTAGTTTTCTGTTTGCTTTAGGTGTGCTTGCTCATTGTTGATGTGCGCACGCTGTATGTGAAATTGCAGTACCCTCTCTCTTGTTCTCTGCTGCATCTACAAAAGAGGATGGGGGCCCCTATTTCATAGAATTATTATGAGGGGGAGTCAAAAAGTTTATGGAGAAATGGAATCAGAAGATCATAGAATTCTCCATGGACTTTTCAAAAGCCTTCTGGTAGGTTCAGTAAGTGAGGAAATCCCTCCATTAGCACTTAGCACGATTCTGTTGTTGTTAGGTGCCATCAGGTCGGTTCTGACTTATAGCGACCCTTTGTACAACAGGACAAAACACTGAGCACCATCCTCGTAATTGTTCAGTTTGAGCCCAATCCTAGCTCATAAGAAATGTTTGACAAATATCAACATTCTGCTTATTATCTTAACAGAATCAGGATTGTCTTGCTCCCCCTCTAGGTGTCCGGCTCTAACTGGATTTTCATTCCAAAGCTGGTTTATCATGAGGGCTTTGGGAGTTTTGGTGAGATTAAGGTTTATGGGGAAATGCAGCAGATTCTTAAAACATATTTATAAAATAAATATACCTTCAATACATTTAAAATACCAACGTACCTCAGATGACGTTAGATTCATGTCTCCCCAGATGACAATGCCTGCAGTTCCCAAGGCAGCACTTTCTCCAATGGTACTGATCAGGTCTTGCTAGATGCGAGGGAACAAGAGCTCATCATGAGCTAGAACGGAAACGACCCAGCAGGGACAGGTGGCTGAGTTCAGGATAATGGGCAAGGGGCAGACAGAGTTCACATAGTCCACGCAGAAACTGTTCTCTAATTTCTAAGAGTAGCCCAAGACTCAAAAACCGTAGTCCAGACTCATATGCAAGACAAAAAGGTTAAACAAACTTGAAGAAAAGTAGACATTTTGGCAAGTGGGGTATTTTTGGGAAGCCTGTAAGCTTGGGGATCATCATCAAACAGACCCTGTCTGCTTGAATTTAGCGGTAGACACACACGTCCATCATGTGTATGAGACAGGGCCCAGAAACAAAGTGCAAAAGCTGACTTTCTCCCAATGCCCTGCATTCCTCTGAGCCGGACTCCCTGCTCTTTGTCACACTCGCCCGTGGCCCCGGGCCTCTGCGGTGACCGGGGAAGTGTGCCATTGGGAGGAAAAGGCCAGGCAGAGGAGCACAGGGAAGGGCCTGCGGCTCTGAGCTGGCCCTCAAATGATTCCTGTTTCCGTTCAAAGGATCTGCGTGGATGG